GATTTCCTTTCATAAGGAAAGTGAGGTTATTGCAGGGAGAGGAGAAGGGATGAAAAAGTAGGTGGGAATTTTAGCCTGCTCTATTAGTGCTGGTGGTTTTATTCTCCTCTGCTTATTGTAAGCTGCAACTGCAGCCTGACTAGTCTCCGCTTCCATTTAGACTGTGTGTTTTAAAGCTTTAATCTGCCCTGGTCTCCAGTGGAAGCATGTACAGTTGCCTTGACTGCCAGTGAAACATAAATGAACTGAGAGATGCTTTCCTCACTGGTGTGCAGAAAGTTCGTCAGAGCTCATTGACAGGATGTAGCAGGATCTGACCTTGATATCTGCGTTTTCTTGGGTGTTTCTTGCTCTGTGAAGTAGTTTGTTCCAAAGAGCGATAACATAATTTAGTCCTGGTGCTCGCCTTTCAGGGAGAACAGGTAGAGTTGTGAAATGATGTTTGCTAACAGACTACAAAAGTCTGGCTTGAATTTTAGTGTAGACTCTACCTGAGATGCATTTCAAGAGTGGTGGAAATCAATTGAAGCAAGTTAATGGCAGGTGAAATACATAAAATTTCCAGCTTCCCAAAAGGAGCAAAGCACTGTGTTAATCACAGTCCAAAAAAATCCAAATGCTTGCATGTAAGCAAGCATTTTGATGAGGGGTTTGTGAGACAATACTGATACTTAAATCTGCAAACATTTATAAATCCCATGTCACACAGCAGCCTGGATATTTGTCAGGTGTCACTGTGCACACACAGTAGTCTTACTTGCCACTTATTTAAACTGAGTTTCTTTGGAAAGCAAAATTTGGGAAGGCAGAACTAACTAGATACTTCAAATGCATGATTTCTTATTGGACTTCTGAAAGATATCTTAGAATTTTCCTGTGTGTAGAGGAAACATTTCTCACTGTAAATATCAAAACACTAGGATAATGCTATGCCGGGGGAAAAAAAAACAACCAACCAACCAATCAAAAAATCACCTTCTGAAGGTGCATCCCTGCTCGGAGTCATTCATTCCTTGTGTGGTGCCCTATGCCAGGACCCCCAATCTCTCTTCCCCAGTCTGTGTGTCATTGCTGCTTCCTTCATTCACGTTTCTGCCTCACTGAGCTGTCACATAGCTGCTAGCCTTGTGTCAATTAAAGCCATTCCCTTCTTGGCTAAGTTGGCAGTGGTCCGCCTTGGATTGCCTGGCATGGTGAGGCACCAGCCGCTGTGACCAGTTGCACATGTAAGAAACATCTGCCTTCGAGACGAGCCATGAGGCGGTTGGGTTTGGAGCAAGCTGTGCACCAAGCAAAGCAAGGCAGATGGTGGATGATAAGATGACCATGAGGCAGCAGTGTGCCCTGGTGGCCAAGAAGGCCGATGGGATCCTGGGGTGCATTAAGAAGAGCGTCTCCAGCAGGTCGAGGGAGATGATTGTCCCCCTTTACACAGCCCTGGTGAGGCCACATCTGGAGTACTATGTCCAGTTCTGGGCTCCTCAGTACAAGAGGGATGTGGAGCTGCTGGAGAGAGTCCAGCGCAGGGCTACGAGGATGATCAGAGGCCTGGAACATCTGCCCTATGAGCAAAGGCTGAGGGAGTTGGGTCTGTTCAGCCTGGAGAAGAGAAGGCTGAGGGGGGACCTGATCAGTGTCTATAAATACCTCAAGGGAGGCAGTGAGGAGGAGGGGGCCGGCCTCTTTTCAGTGGTGGCCAGCAATAGGATTAGAGGAAACGGCCACAAGCTGAGGTACCAAAAGTTCCATAGGAACTTAAGAAAACACTTTTTGACAGTGAGGGTGCCAGAGCCCTGGAACAGGCTGCCCGGAGAGGTTGTGGAGTCTCCTTCTTTGGAGATCTTTAAAACTTGCTTGGATGCAGCCCTGTGCTACGTGTTCTAGGTGACCCTGTGTGAGCGGGGGGGTTGGACTAGATGACCTCTGAGGTCCCTTCCAACCTTCGGCATTCTATGATGCTATGATATCCCCAAACCATCCCTGAGCAGGCAGCGCTGAGCGTGTTCAGTCGCAACGCGCCCGTCTCTGCACTTAGCTGCCCTAGCAGTGACCGTGCCCCGTGCAGGGTCCATGGCGCACGGTGGGGTTGCAGCCTGGCTCCTTTCCCTGGCCCCAAAAACATCTTATTAGGATGATTACAATATCATGGGGGAAGACTAATATCATTCCAACTGTGCGGATTTACCATTCCCCTTTTATGGATGGTATGAGTTGCCTCTTGCAAAGTTAAGTCTTCTCACTTAGCTTTGCTTTCCTCTCGCCTTACCTATTGTAAGGGGATATTTTTTCTTTCATTTTCTGAAATCAAGGTGTGACGATCTGTAACGGTTGGTGGGGAAAAAAGCAAATGACACCTTTTCATTGCTATTTAAAAAAACATGCAGGATAAAAATATGAAATTAATCTTTATCTTACATTTACAAACAGGTTAGTCATGTGAGTCATCAAATGTCATTTGAAAATAAGTAGCTGTCCATATAATCACCCTCAGTAGGATAAGTCAGTCTTAGAGCTCAGAGATCATTCACTTTACTTACTATAAGATTTTGCTTCATCTAAGATTGCCTCTAATGATAGGGTTTTGCTGTTTTTGCTGCTTTTCCACTGTAGAGAAATAATGTCTCGTATCAAAAAGAAAAAATCCCCAAACAGCCTTTTTCCTACCTGAACTTCACAAATAGAAATCTAGTATTTCTTTTTTTTAGCTGCAGAACATCCTTAAAAGCAAAATATGTTAATTTGCAAACATATAATTTATGAATTGCATAATTGAACTCTGTTCTTTCCTATAAGCATGCTATGTCTTTTTTTTTTTTTAAGTACAAGTAAATTAACTGGAGTTGTAGAATTGTGGCTAGTGTTTGGTCAAGGATCATTTTTTCATCTTAATTGAAGTTTTATACCATGTTGCATTAAATTTGAACTGCCTCAAGTCCTTTGCTCTGGCTTTGTTAGGACCCATCACTTGTCCCGCACATCTTCACGCTGGCGGATTTATGTGCAATGGCTCTGGTCATAGGCTACCTACAAGAGCCTCTCGTCTTTTGAGAACACACTCTAAATTTTGGTCAAGATGAATTTTGATGGAAAAAAGGTGCTGTTACTGTGCTAAACACTTTACAACTCTAAAATATAAATGAATATATTTTTGTCTTCGAGTCTTTCAGATTTGTCCCTGATGGCACTTTCTCCCACACTCCTCACCCATCAAACTCCAGTGAAATAAATTGTTGCTATGCCAAGCAAGATGAATACTGTGTTTTTACCTTTTCGTGCTTTCTTTGCGTCTTGACATACTTTTTCTTAGTGTTTGCTGCAGTTTTACATAATGTTTTCCTCCAATTGAATTAAATTAAATTGAAAAGGTGATACCTTTAATGTGTTGAATCCAGTGCTTGATTCAGAGGTAAATACAAAAGCAATTTTCTATCATGCTGTCTTTCCACTATCTGATAGTATCTATTTTTGTTTTCAAGCACTAGAACACTTTTATCAGTTGAACATCATGAACATCATGTCACATCCAGAAGTGTTGTGATATACCTGAGAAGGCACATTCCTCCCTCCCTCCCTCCCTCCCTCCCTCCCT